AGGGTCGTATTTCCAGTGCTTATGTTGCCAGTGCAATCCTGACTTGAGCATTGAATAGAGTTCTAGAATACGACCCTTCGAGTCTTCCTAGATGAAATTACAAATCTCCCCCTAAGCCTCTACACGACGCCCCCGTTTTTTTTTCTGGGTCTCTTACAAGGGGGCCTAGATGATACAGAGAACGAATCCGCTCGTTTTTGCAATACAAATAAAGTTCGAATATCTGCCGCTTTACCCCACATGAGAATCCCGTAGGACATTATACTATGGAAGTAACTAAAGTAAACTAGTCTAGCAGTACTAACATCGGTAAGCTCACGTACTCTGCGGACCGCGTATGCAGCGGAGCTTAATCTGCTGGCCAGGGAAGATATATGTGGAAACCATTGAAGTTTACTATCTAAGATCACTCTCAAGAAGATTGCTTTATTAACAAGGTCTAACTTGTCTCCGTTTTTTTCCATGCTTGGACTAGTCGATTTTACGTTAGGTAATTCAAATTTAAGACATTTTGTCTTCTTGACATTAAGCAACAAATTATTAACATTAAACCAATAAACTACCTTAGAGAGGGTATTTATTTATTTATTTATTCTTAAAGGTTTACAGCATTCTTTAATATTAATTTATAAACTGAATGTAAACTTATAAGCCTATTAAAAACCTCCATTCTAAGCCTCCACATATGAAAATCTATATACAAAACATATGTTAACACTAATTGTTAATCCTACATACGCATATACACTTTAGTTTAATTTAGTTTAAGTCCAATAATAATATCAACGACATAAATATATACATACATATATTCAACATAATAAGATTTATATACCTACTTATAATTTGAGCATACCCACCATATCTAAAATATTTACTAGTTATTGCCTTTTAAAAATAATTCAAACCCACAGTTCTCTTTATAGATGTAGTGCTAGACGCAAATAAATCAAAGTCATTATCGGTGCTATACTTGTTAAAGGTTTTACAGCTACGTACCATGAATATATTTTGCCTGTAATTTGTGCGGACATTTGGTAAGTGAAGCAGAGGGCGCTGCCGCAAAGCCAGTGCGTTAGCACGAAGACCAATCATGGACAGCAATTCCGGACAGTCAATTTTACCATTTGCCAGTTTAGATAAGAGACACATGTCATTGATTTCCCGACGCATTAACAGTGGCAAGAAGTGGTATCGCTTACATCGATGCTCATAACTCAGCGACTTTTGTTTGGCCCTAAAGTCAAGAAAACGCAGAAATCGTTTCTGTATCGACTATAGAGCCTATCAATATAAATACCATATTGCGGATTCCACACTTGGGACGCGTACTCGAGATGGCTTCGCACGAAGGTGCAATATAGTACTTTAATTGCCTTCAAAGATTTTAAATGACTGGAAATTCGCATCACGAACCCGAGGGCCCTAGAGGCCTTACTAGCAATATGATTGACATGATCCTCGAAAATTAGCTTGCTATCATGTATGACACCCAAATCTCTTATTTTATTAACTCTGGTCAAACTGTGACCCTGGAGGAAATAATTGAATCCTATTACGTTGGTCTTACGTGTGAATGTCATACAGAAACACTTTGGAAACATTAAGATCTAACTTATTTAAGACACAGCATTGTTCAAACCGCAGATCTTCATGTCGTCTGCGAAAAGAATGGATTTTGAATTTAAGAAACATTTACCGATGTCCATTATAAAAATTATGAATAACAGCGGACCCAGAATTGACCCCTGGGGAACACCAGAAGATATTTCAGCCCACCGCGACGCCTCGCAAAACAACAGCCTGGCTACGATTGGCAATGTAGGAGGCGAACCAACGAAATAAATTTCCATGAATTCCCGCCGCATGGAGTGTGGATATGGAGTAGCATGCAATGATCGATTCTATCAAAACACTTTATATAGTCTGTGTATACCACGTCAACTTGCGCTCCCTTCTCCATTCCATCGGCGATGTACTCATTGGCAATAATGAGGTTGGAGGATGTTGAGCGTTGTCTGAGAAAACCATGCTGCTCTTCACTAAAAGAACTACGTAAACTAGAATACACATCCTGATGAAATAATTAATATGGTCATAGTTCATGTCTGTCTGTTTTAAAAATCAAGGATGTGTCGTCAGCAAACAATACTATTTAGCAACGATCCTTAACAAAGAATGGCAGGTCATTAATATAAATCAGAACTAAGAAAGGTCCCAAGTATTGAACCCTGCGGAACACCAATTTTTACCAGAGAACCCAATATATATGTATAATAATCCTTTTTTTATGTATAAATTCCATAATTAAGTTACTCACAAATCACTTAGTGTTATGTTTGCTTTCAAACATGAAACCTATAATATACATAAAAAAGGATAAATTTAAGTTAGATGTGTACTAAATCCATATGACGAAAGCGGAATACTAAATCCATATGACGAAAGCGGAATTTGACGAGTGTCGTTATTGGTTGTCCACATTCGTCATTCCTGACGAACAGGAACTGAAATCATGAAAAAAACTATTTCTGACGAAACTGGAATATGACGGATGTATATTAAATCAAAAATAGTACTTAGACCACAGACATGTCTGTGACTTTGACTTCCAACAACTTACATGAGAGGTATCGCTATATTGTCAGGGGTAAGAACATTGACTTAAAACTAATTTTATAAGTCAATGTTTGTAAGTCAATAGGTAAGAAACACGCAGACTAGTATGTCCTTTTGCTTATACCTATTGCGATGTTGATAAGTACATTCAAATAAAATAAAAAATATATTTTACAATTAACCAAAACAACTTACCTACAGTAATTTAGTGATCTAAAAGCGACATTTGGTTATTTATTATTAATGTATCAGTAACGAGATGCTGTCGTCGCCGTTTTCTCGGCCTACTCCAATGGGAGACCAGACATAATAGTATGCATGTATATACGGACACTTGAATGCTACAGTAGTGTTATTATTGGCGATTGATTGAAAGTAGGGCCAGTTGACAGGAGGCTTGAGTTGTGTCAGGATAAAGTGGCGTTCCGTGGTCTCTGCCTACAGCTTCTGTGGGGCTAGGGTGAAAGTAGGGTCCCGGCCCACTACGAACTTGTGGGATCAATAATAACTGTTAACCTGTAACCTGTAACACCATACAGTACAACTTGTAGATAAACTTATATTACTCTCATTCATTACAAGCTATGGATAACTTATTAACAGTAATCACTAGTTAACAAATGTTTAATTTGTAAGTGTAGAGCTAAATGCAGTAATTTTGCATCCAACTACAGCACAGTACTTTTGACAGGAAGCTAAAATTCGAATTTCTAGGCGTAATAAAGAAAAGGAATCAGTTATACTTTGAATTTATTTTGCTTGAAATTACATTTTAAGGAAATTATAATTTGTAGAAGATGGAACTGGAAACTATTGAGTGTTCTATAAATGTAAATATTTAATCCTTCAGCTTCTTCTTTGGGCGCAGGTTGTTAGTATGCCCACACTTAGTCTTGCGGCAGTTGGTAGCACGCGGGTGAAGGCGGGCATAGCACTTGCGACAGATCATTTTATCGCAGTTGTACTTCATGGCCAAGATACGGAGAGAAGGTTCGATGGTGCCTGGACATAAAAAACAGTTAAAATTTACAAAGAAATATTTTACTGTGCTTTTTTATTCTACTAACTGTAAGTACTTATACATACCTCCTCTAAGCCTAAGCACTAAGTGCAAAGTAGATTCTTTCTGAATGTTGTAGTCCGACAAAGTACGGCCATCCTCCAACTGTTTTCCAGCAAAGATCAATCGCTGCTGATCTGGAGGAATGCCTTCCTTATCCTGAATCTTGGCTTTTACATTCTCAATCGTATCGGAAGCCTCCACCTCAAGAGTGATGGTCTTCCCTGTGAGGGTCTTCACGAAAATCTGCATTGCAGTCCTGGAAAGAGATTTGTATTACAGGGCAAACATTTACTGAATTTTTGATGATCGATACGATCAAGGTGGTCCAAAAAATTAAAATGAATAACAAAATGCGATCGCTGTCAAGACGACATGCCACGCGGAGATTCAAATTTGGAACTCGAACGCCATTAAAATATCATACAATATTTTTTAACACTACATATTTTTAGCAAGACATACTTACGAATTACCGCTCGTAAAATAAGGCAAAAAATTAGAAAAGGTAACCTAGTAGCAAGTTACCTTTTTACAACAACGTGCTCAAAAACTCAAAAAGAAAGACCTGTCAAAGTCATTTACGGAACCATTGAAGAAAAGAAAAATGGCGGATTGTAAGTTTAGAAATTAGATTACAAATATGAAGAAAAAAATTGGATCTAGTGATAAAAGTATATCTATTTATTTCAGGAATATGCTTCAGAATTTTAAATAAAAAAGCCTTAGATTACTTCTACAATTTAGTGCTACCAATATTTTGAGTCTAAAACTTTTTTTAATTTTTCGATTGTTTAATAAAATTTTCATTGGGCAAGTATTAGAAGTACGTTCCAAAACCAAATAAATCTAAGAAAGTTTTTAACAATTAACGAATTTTTACATTATTTGCTTCAATATTTAATTATTTGTCCTTACATCAAAATAAGAATATAAATTAACAAATATTTAAATCTTTCTTCGTAACATGCTATTTCAAACGAAACAAAAGTAGCTTTCGTTCTATCATTCGTCATCTGCCACAAAGGTTTTTGAACGATAATGGCATAATTCGATGGAAATACTTGTTTCGTAACACCACGATTTTTCCTCAGAAACTTTAATTATTTCTAAACAACAAGATGTACCATCAACTTAGCCGAGTAACCGGTAGGCTAGTCGCTGCTACTAATCTGCAGAGCCCACTGTTTCCAGTTGTGAGTATTTTTTTAGTATTTTGAAAGAGTTAATTGAGACTTGAGATTACAATATCGTTATCGTTGGATATTTTTCGACAGGCACCAATTGCCCTGCAACGAGTGGAGCCCCCCAGCATCCAGTACAACACCGCGCACCTGTCTACTGTAACCGAGGCATCCGCGTGCCCTGCGCCTGGCAAGAGGAGGCTCATCCCTGGCACGAACATTCCCTACCCCCCAGTCTCAGAGACCATCCGCAAGCGCCAGGAATTGTTCCAGGTACATATCTGCCGTCCACTGATTAAAAAGCGGCTAAGTGACAAATGGTCAAATTTCCGTTTTAAACAAAAAAGATAGAGCACAAAATCCTCCTTTAAACAGTTACAATTAGGTAACGTGTTCGACTTATCGGAACACCCTAGAGATGCATAGCTGAACTATCATTAAATGGATGTAGTTAAGCAAATAGGATCCAATCCACAAAGTTATAAAAAAATTAGTTTTATGTACCAAACGATTCCTCTTAGATCAGCAAATAAAATCCAACATATAAACATTAATAAATATCTCTGGAGTTACATGACACTATAAGTTTTGAAAATAAAACAAGTGTGAGAAACACTTTTGAACTTCAAATGCCATATCTGAAAAGTGAGTGGATGTGGATTGGATCTTTTTAACTACATCCAATGTATGATGATATATCAAAAAAATATTTTGTCACTTAGCCACATTTTAGTTAACGGATGGCAGGTATAGTCAATCATGGTTTCGAACATCATCCAACGTAAAACTGTTATCAACATCTGAACCTTTGATCATGTTTTAATTGCCAACTTAGTAATTAAATCCATATTTGGTTTGCTGCAGGATGCTTAAATTTGAATTTTAATATGTTTTGCAGAAAGATAATGACGTACCTGTGTTCCTGAAAGGTGGTCCAGTTGATGGTATTCTCTACCGCTTCACAATGGCCCTATGCATTGTTGCACTTGCGGGTATAGCCCACACCATCTATGACCATGCTGTTCCCAAAGCCAAGTGAATAATCGGTTAAATTACAACATTCTGTACTAGCCTTTGTTGTGTATTATAGACTTGAGCAATTTAAATAAATTAAACCAAAACTACCACGTGTTTTCATAATAAACTACTAATAAAGTGAAATTAGCATGAGTTTTTTTAATTTATTGAACAGTTATTGAATTCTTCCTGGTAAATTAAAACAAACATGAATTTAACACTTCTATATTTCATTATATAGCATAGCGTTATTTACATTAGTTATAAACATGTAACATTACAAACACTGGCCTCTATGATGATTCCCAAAGGAAATGCATATCATTTTACAACATACATAGCATTGACTATGAGTAATTACTGAAATTCTAATCTTCATTACTTTTTTACAATAGTTGCACCAAAATATGCTATTAAATAATGTTAAACTGAATAGCAATACACAAACTGATGAACACACATTACATTTACATTCAACATATAGTATAAAATGTGAAACTACATCAGGTACATTGCAAAATCGGTTTTCATAAAAATACGGGATTTCAAAAGAGTATAAACGATCCATATCATAATTGTTAAATATGCATGTAAGCTAGACAAAAGATAATACATAAGAAACACCATCTAATTGGATTCTACTACAGAAAATGCTTCAACACAGCCATAATAAAAATCCATAAAAAAAATAAATTCATAAGTAAAATAAAATAAGATCACAGGGGCAATAATAGGTAGTATAAAAAAACGATGGGTACCAATTAGGTATAGGCAATTAACATAAACATACGCTTGTGTTATAAATAACATACAGATACATTTGTATGTATAACTAACATCAAAATAGGAATCACGCAAAATTTTCAGGAACTGTAAAACAATATTACGAATCATGGATGAAATGAGATAATATAATATGAAAGTGGGTACAATAACAAGGCGATTGTATTTAAATTCTTAAAATAATTATTTGTGTAAATACCTTTAAATTTATTTGACAAATCATACTGATTTTATTCAAAAAAATTAAGAAACAATGCTAACATGACTTACAAACTTGCTTAACAAAATTTCTAACTTGCTTAAAATAAATATATTTTGTCTAAGATTGCACCTACATATTTAGTAACAATTTCGATGCTTTGCAACTTTTAATAAACTATACCTACTGATAAGGAAAAAATTTGATTCATATTGCAAAACTTACTTTGTTCAATGTAACTTACAATAATTATAAATACTTTGATCATTACGTTTCGTACGCATTTTATTTTCTAATAAAAACCAACAAACGTTTTGAAGAATTACATTATAGATATTTCATGATGCCTTAAAATTACAATATTGAGCTGACAAATACGTAGTTAACGGCCGGCAGCGAATACATCAATTGAATATATGGGTGGTTCTCCAGAAACAATGTCAAGAATTTCGCCGTTAAATATCAAGTGAAACTGGTACATAAAAGTAATTAATTTTCTTTTAAGTCTCTCAATTATTTTATTTGTGTCTTAATTATTTTATTTCGCAACAATAATTAATAAAAATAACTATCGTTTTTCGTATTAACATCTTGAAAATTCCTTAAAATATTTCTGGCTGATTTCAACACGTCACTTTTAAAAATGTTATCAAAAATAACTAAGTCTGCCTTAAATAATAATAATATGTTTTATTTTTCTCTCACATCAGATAGATACATAGTAGAGTTTCAATTTTGTGAGAGACCGGAGCCTAAACTAGGATACCCTGTGTCTTAGGTCTCCTGGTCCCCCCACCTTGATTGTACAGTTTATTTACTCTATTTAATTCACACATTGTATTGTCCTATTGATCAAGATACAAGAGAAAAGGAAAATAAATACCAATATCTACCAAAACGGAGGCGAAAAGAAATGTATTTTAGCAATTGATAGTATTTCATTACTTTGACTTAAGAGGCGTGGAAATATAAAAATTACTGAATATTAATTGCTATTATCGTAGCTCCGAATAAATTGTGACAATTATTTTTAAAAACCTAATAATGTACATGTCCGAAACAAAATTATGCGTTGTCGATAATGTGGCCCGTCTATCATTAATTCCCCAAATGTTACAAATTTAAATAGTTCCACTATTTGCATTTTTGCCGAGAACCACCCGTATGTTAATTACTTATGATGGTCGCGGACGTGCTGGCAGAGGGGGTGGTGCGCCCTGTCTGGCGGGGACAGGAGGTGGTGGTCCAGTCGGCGGTGGCGTGCTACTAGGCGGTGGTGGTGGTGCGCACGCGGGTGGTGGACCGCTATCTGCAGGCGGTGACGTCACGGGAGGCGAATTCGTTGGCAGTAGCTGTGAAACTGATTTAACTACGGCGTCTGGAGTTATGGGAGCTGGGCGCGGAGGTGGCGGTCTAGCTGGACTTGCAGGTGGAATTCTAGATGGTACCAGAGGTGTCGGTGAAGGCGCTGGTGGTCTGCTCGGTTGCTGACGACGCGGAGTAGGCGGAGCCGATCTGAGCGGACGTTCAGGCTGAATATCACCAAATAACGGTACAGTATTATTCGAACAGAGACCTATTTCCAAACGCAATATATCAGCCCAGTTTGGAGTTTTCAGTGTTATTGACATTGGGATCGAGCAGACATTGATGTGGCCTTTTTGTGTGGCGGCTAGCGCATTTTGACCATCTCTGAACGTGATACTCAATGAATGATCATCGTTGAAACGCACAAGCGTAACTTCACCTATAGTCGAAAGCTCTTGCAAGACAGCAGACATGACATTATCGTCGAAAATCGAATCCTCAGAATTGATTTCTTCGATCGGTTGCACTATAATACTGGCATCAGGAGGTCCAAGATCTTGAACTACTTCGTAAAACACTTCCATACATTTAGTATAACTGACCTGCAACACTTCTACTTCTAAAATCGCTGCAACGGGCCGATGATCGCTCTGCTTCAGCTCCGCGCGACCGTAATACAGTAATTTTCCAGCTGCTAACTCTGGCGTCGTTTCTGGATCAATTGTATATTTTCTGCTTCTCCATAAAATACGGTCAGTCCAAGCCGGTGCACGGCATTTCTCGCTGGTGTCATAATCATCGCTAAATAGATCGTATTTATACGTAGGCGGAAACGTGATCTCACCCTCAAAACAGTTTTTGAAAACAAGATCCTGAGACTTTTGCTTTATAAGTTGATCATTTTCCAGAAGCCTCTGTAGATTATTTTGTGATACAAGTAATCGTACTTCATCCTTATCTAAATCAATGCGATAATTAAAGTCGCCGCACCAAAATACGTAATCGTGTGAGTACAATGATCGACCCATCGGAAAAGCGACTTTTCTGGTAATTTCAGCGTAGTCAGCGTTACGTTCTGTAACTTGTGATTGGCCGGCAGCAAAATGTGCACATACAAAGCACAGTGATGTTCCATATATAACCATTCTAATAGCTACAGCTCCTTTATTTCCTGTTGTACCTCCTAAACCTGTTTTAACGGAATCAAGAGCAACATCCCTTATATGAGGAATTAAATCTTTCCTTACAAAAACAAAGAGACAAACTCCAACTAATTGATGACTTGATAGAAGCGTGTAGGGAGCATCTCTACACAAAATTTTTTCAAGTTCTTCACTCCAAGCTTTTGCATTATCTGTACTGGCAGCCATGATGTTGCTAGCATTCAAGTCAACAATTTCTTCAAACCCTATAGCAAATATGTCAGATGGGTGATCGTTTACATTGACAGTGGTCACTAAAGCTGAATTTGGGCAATCCAATAACCAGTCAGCTAATGAAACATCCTTATAGGCAAGACTTCTGAAATGTTTACCTCCATTGACATTGTATGTGCCAATAGTAATACGAATACTGGAGGGTTGTGTATATTCAGTTGATCTACGGCACATTTCTCTGAGAACTGAAGTAGATGTGTGCAATATATGGGAGGGTAATAAAATTCTGGTACGATCTGCTAGTTCAGAATTCAATGTGGATCCCAGCAAGAGTATATCAATTGCTTCTTGCTTTGAATTGTCTAATAAATTATTTTGAATGGTACGAGCAGCAGATCTTGCTCCATCAATCAACTTTGATCCACCCTGAATAGCTCCAGTGCCTGCATAGATTTTAGATATTTCATTACCATTATTAACCCACATTTGCCGGAACACTTCCTCAAACCTGTTTACATTTTGCTTTTTATCAATGCATTGTAACAACATCAATTGTATGGCTAGCATTTCCAAACCTATAAATGTTTGAATGGAGTTAGTTCTATCCAAGCAATCTAAGCAGTTGGTACGTATTACACCTTTTTGTACATTGTAAATATCATCACCTTTTGCACTAAAAATGCCAATTGTATCATAGTAGGTTTCAATTATTTTTTTGAATTTTGCAAGAGCCGTTTCAGCTGATGCTGCCCGTACTTCTTGATGATAATCAAAAATTATTTGTGTGACATCACTGTGTGCAGATTCATGAATATGTTTTTGGAAAGCATTGCTGAGTGTCGCTTCCCCTTCACTACCCCCTATCAAACTTGAACCCAGAAGGTTGACAACGATAATGTTGCCATAATTACGTTTCAGTTGTGAAAAATGCCTATCACAGGCAGAAGTTGATGCGTCATATCCTCGTGACATCTTTACTTTGTGTGATCCCACTTGTATTCCTGGCTGCTCCCAAAACAGAGGTACAGAGCCTCTGGTTTGTATGTAAGAGGCAACAGAATCATCTATATAGATAGACTGTTCTGTTTCTACAAAGTTAGCAACATTGCCATCATCGTTACACCCCCTTACATTGAATCGGGTGCCAGCTCTTTCACAGCTGAGTCGCGATACTAGTACAGCTCTCGCTTGGCGGTGGCCTACATAGATAGTGCGTATTTCAACTGAGCCACACATGGCCCTGGTGAGCCAGTCATCGCAATCAATACCGTATCTTATCAAATGTATAAATAATGTTCTATTCCAAAAGAACCTGTTGTCAGGAGTGGAAGTTTTGCTTTTTCTTTGTGAGCATAATGTGAGATCAAAGAGAGCATCATTAACTTTGCTGGAATTCCAGGAAAAGTAAAATGTACCTGAATTTAACAATTTTCTCACCTCTGCAACTTTGTCTTCACCTTGAGAATGATAAAACAGTGGCAGAAACTGTGTTTGTGTAATTTTGAACACTTCGACGTCTCCAACTTTTCCAACTGAGCAGCAACCCGTAACGAGAACGAGATAAAGCAAACAAGTTTCACCAGAATTCAACTGAAGCACGCCCAGGCACCCGTACGCGTCAGCGATTTTATGATACTGCTTCCGAAGATTTTCTGTTTCTTGAGACGATAGTGAAACTACGGCTTGAGATTCAAACAGTAGCGAAGTATCTTTATTTCTGTGTTGCAGAATTATACTGTAGGGATTCGGCGGTGCTGATTTCTCCAGGACTTTGAATCCTTTAGACATAGCCATGACTGCTGTTGATGTTACATGCAGCTAGCCACGCGCTATCCGCCCCCTTGTAACTTATTTTATTACTGCAATTTTCGCAGCAGCCTCGATACTCATAAATCTATGGTATACAGGAATCGACCGACCACAAACGAAATGTCAAACACTTGTTTTTTAGTGAAGCGTTGACAAGTATGTAGTACTCAACCAATAAATATCAAAATTATAAATGAATGAATTTGTTTCAAAATTAGTAAAAAGAAAGAAATAATGAATTATTTATGCCGATTTACAACATAGGAAACACATTATATGATTTGACACATAATACAAATAATTATATAAGAATTAATACGACTTAGTAAATAATTAAATAAAGGAAGTACTAAAATTGCGCTAGAGTATGCACTGTGCTATTACGGAATCCATCATACACTCAGCTTATTGGAAATATCAAGCTTGCTAGATATCACAATCATGCAACGCAAAAAATCCAACGCAAAGCAAGCGGCCTGCGCAAGCGAGTGACTCGTGAACAGTCCTGCCTGCGCATATGCGACAGATCTTTGCATATGCGCGAAGCGAGTCACGCATGCAAACGAAAAACGCAAGTGAAAGACTCGTCAGCACGGCCACAAACTACTAATACAAGATAGTAGTTTGTGGCCGTGCTCACGAATCTTGTCGTGTCACCGAAAGTGCTAGGACGCTGATTTTCAGTGGACTCTGTAACGGCATACATGCGGCACGATACAAAGCAAATGTATTTTCATAAAAAAATTAAAATAAAATAGGTACCATGTCATGCCCAATTAATTACAACATGATTGAATTGGACGTAGTTAGAATAAAAAGATCCAAGTCACAGCTTAGAAAGTTCACAAGTTAGAGCGAAAATGAGTTACCTATGTCACGTGATTCACCGTAGCCTATTCTTTCATGCCAGAGAGACTCGTGTCGATATGTCTAGTATTGGCGAAATTATAAGTAGCCTGTTGAAAAAAATGACATTTTCCCAGAAATATTTTTAATGAACGATCCAGGTATCCTGGACTCTCATTCAACAATACATAACATGATCCACTTGTGTATGAATCATTATTAAAAAATACTAAACCATGAAATAGGATGGCCAATTAGATTCAAATAAACTTGAATCATTTTGTTTTTATTGTTTATTTTGTAACCAAATGCTCCAAAGTGATTTGTATAGGGGTTTTTAAAATCTTGAAACAATAGGATCCAAAGTAACTTGGATGGTTTTGATTATTCTTTTTAATAGGGACAGAATGTTCCACGCGTAGTCGGTTTCACGTTACGGGGTGTGCTTATGCTCTTCGGTGGCACAGTGATTAGTACAATAGGCGTTGATGAGGAGGTTACAGGTTATCGAACCTGGAACCTCCTCAAATTGGCTCAAATCAGGGCGATCCCTGATACAGCACTAGAAATTATACTCAAGTCCTTGCCATTGTATTTCCAGTGTTTGAAATCATACTCAAGTCCTGACTTGAGCATTGAGTAGAGTTCTGGAATACGACCCTCAGATTACATCTGAGACTGTAATGTAAAAAGTCAATAAAAACTTAACTTTTTCTTAAGTAATTAATTATAAAATCACAGAAATAGTACAAAATTGAATAAAAATAAGTAAACTTGTTGTGCACGTAAACCCGTTATAGTAATTATTGAGTCCTGTATTTTGGTCTGCAGGAAGAAATTTCTTTTTGAAATAAGCAGTACCTTTTGTTTGTGTTTTCCGTTTTACTAAATATGATTTGTGTTTTCCTGTACAATAATAATTAAATAAATAAAATAAAACAACTACTTACTAAAATATTGGCAGAGGAAGCTCAAAGTCAAAGATCATTTATTCCGTAAAATAAATTTACACTTGAAAACGTTACTTTATTCTTTACATTACATTACATTATGCTACTGCTCATTCACTGCCATTCACTACGCTAATTTCCCTGAGAAGAACGAGGAAAAAACTCTAGGGATTGCTCTTTTCAAATAAACCTAAATGCTATGGAATACACCTTGAAGCAAATTTGTGCGGATTCTGGAGCCATGTCGTCTTTCCATATATCTTTATAAACACGTAGTCTTCAATTTTTTTGTTTAATTGGGCAAAACTCGTTACTTTAAAACTCGTTCTATAATAAAACTGAGAAATGCTAAATTCACGTGTTAAGCTCATTTCAGTGAATTCAAAACTTTAAAACGCTCCCCTGTGAACTTGGCAATTTCGACATACGATACTTTACGCAGGATTTCGAATCGAATTCTTCTAAGCTCTACTAATAAAACTGTCGGATTGTTCAGCAGCTGCGTGAATGGCATATGAAATGAAAATAATACATATTATTATTTGGTAATGTATTTTGTATTAACCTTTATCCACACAGGCATAAATAAACACTTATAAACATAATAAATAATAACATAGTTTAAAGGCTAAAGTTAACATATTTGTTATACAATGCCATAGAATTAGTAGGCACAGTAATGTGGCCAGTCTTTTTTTGTACGTAATTGTGATATATTTCGCGGGAAGCGCGCGTGACGGTTGGCGGGATCACGTCGATGGTGCTGTCGATAGTGAATGCGCTGCTCACCGTCATTACCACATGGTTGTCGCTCTTGTACCGCGGGTTGGAACGTCGCTCGAAATTCACGTAGCGCTTGTATCTACAATTTTGTACAATTAGCATCTAATCCAATTACTATAGTACTTTACTTTGTAGAAATAGTATTTGGAGACAGAATTCCATTTGAAATGGTGGCGCTAATCAACAATAGCGTTACAATTTAATTCAGAAATCAATACTTTTGATATTAAAATTGAAATTCTTACCAAAGACAAGTTGTTAGCTTTTGAAATGTATACATAGAATAGAAACATTTATTTTATATTAACAGAGACATAATATTACGATTCCAAATAAAATGTCAAGGGATAATCAAACACAATCGTCAATAATAATATACTATGGAATATAAAATAAAGTACTATTACTAAAAACCATTAATAAACGCAAAATATTGTCCAAATGCAATAACATGAAATAAAAATAAAATTATGAAACTTGGTTAAAAAGGTTTCTGCAAGATTAAATATTAATCAGAACACTAACATAAGCATATCTCGTTTGTTAGGCTCAGCCAACAGGATACGGTTGGAGCGCTTGATGGCAGGAAAACTCGGCGTGTGGGTAGGCACCTCCGGTTCACTGAGCGTCTTAACCACTTCGGCCAATGGAGAGGGAATGGCCTGCCGCGAGCTCGGCGACGAACTGGTTAAGTCGTCTTCCGTTGAGGAGTCGCTGTTCGAACTGTGAACAAGGTAGATTATACTTAACGCATATACATACCCATAGTTGCGCTTTGTAAGTAGATATTCATTCACAATATTTATAATAATAATAATGTACTACGTGTACCAGAGTAACGGAGTTCACTCTGGTGCCAAATAAAAATTATGTAATATAAATAACCTTTTGTAAAAAAATTTGTCAATGTAGTTCGTACATAACAAAATTGTAATATCAACAGGGATCTCTCTATATAGCAGCGTATATAATAAACATTTTTTTTATTTGATTTGATTTGATAAACAGAAGTAAAGTGGTGTAGATTGAATTGATATATTGACTTACTCGCTAGAATTATTAGAAGTGGTACTGGATCGTCCGCTGATGACGGGGTTCTTGGAAGTGGGGCCTTTCGTTTGTCCAATAGCGCGACCGCGGACCACAAACGGACTGAAACTCTCCGTGAACGTCGGTGCTAAATCCCGTAACGTGTGACACATCTGGAATACAGTTCGAGATACAATTAACGTAATTAAACACGTCACGTCACGCATCATTTAATGAAAAACAAATAACACTCCCATTATAGTAACTAGTGTGTATAATGACCACGGAACAAAGAAACAATGGAAGTGCCTTAAGCCTTTTTAATTACTATCAGAACCGCTGTCGCCAAAGCTCACATAATCATAGGGTAAACACTATAACATCTTGATAGTGATTGGTCGTAGTTTCTAATTTAAAAAGATGTAACACATTCTGGACTGTCAATATAATTTAAACTTTAACCAGTTGGCATATCGTTAAAAGTTCAATACCTATTGTTTATTTTGAAATTTCATTCATCTATGAGGCGACGAACGATTAACGTTCTCCAAAAAAAGTCTACCATATTGCAGCAGTTTAAGGTTAAGTTTCGTTTCTTATAACAAAAATCAATTAGAATAAATAGAAAGCGGAAAATTCATTTGAATTAAATAAAATAAGACTTAACGATAAGTACCATTTTTGCACTTCAAATAAGCAAAATAATGCATTTTTCCACAATTGTCGAGTTTTGCGTGAGATATGACACGACTAAATGTACAAAGCGAAAATGTCGGACTCAGCTCAAATCTGTGAAATTACGCGTAATGTTGGCACGCGTGTCCCGCCCTCTAATCACTTCTACCGTATTAAATTGCTACTTATAGATATAAGGCCGCCTGATGAACACTAGCTAATTCCGTGATATTTACTTCACTGCTTGTTAAGTGTTCTCACTGTATTTTTTTAATATGCAATAAAGAATATTTCATTCATTCATTCAAAGACCATAGAAAGAACTAGCATAACGTTATGACAGCAGCAGTTTCTTCCTGTATTATTGGAATGCATGTGTACAGATAGATATCAAATTTTATGATTTTGACTCCTTACTTTTCGCCTACCTATTAACAATTAACCTGCCTTAAGCTCGAAGCATTCCTGCAACTGCGTATATTCGAAGGGGCGGTTGCAGTCGTGGTAGAGATCGAGCATCTCGAGCGAGTCGCTGTGCATGCCGATGATCTCGCAGCACAGCTTACGCATCTCATTGCAGGGTCTTGGCAAGTACTTCAGGACATCGTCGTCCCACCATTTCGTCATCGATCTGTAGTGATACCGTGAGTTATTTGTTTAGCAGGTAAACAACAATACTGCCCTCCTTATCATAACTAACGTAATCAACATTTTTAGCGAAATTGAGTTATTAACATTTTTTTTATGATACCAAGGACAGGACGAGCAAGTCATGTTAAGTCAGTCAAGTCTGGTGTTAAGCGACACGTCTGTCCATAGCAGTTGCAGTGCCACAAAGAGCGTTTATCGCAAAGATTTGAGGGACACTGCCATGCCACTAACACCCTTATCCTTCAAAACCGAAACACACTAATGTTCACATTACTACTTGGAAGCAGAAATGGGACTCTTTCACAAGGAGTTCTACTGCTACTAACAGGTTTAGGATTAGCGAAACGAGATCTAAAACCCCCTATAATCGTTATTTTTTAATATCTTTATTTAGGTGATTTTTATTGTTAAGAAAAATCTGAATAATTGACATATTTACTACCAAAAAAGAAACTTTAGGCACCATTGACTTACAAATAGTCACCAATGTCTCGAAAGTTACCGAAATGCAAATGCGTTAATTATGACAAGGAGGCGAGGGAAGAATACGCCGCTTGATGTGCTTGTTTCTTTATATATCTGTTTGTATTGTATTGTCATAACATGGAATGTTCGGTCCAATTCAATATGCATTTTTGTAACCATACAATTGCACTAAAATATATTTCAATGGAACGAACATTACAATGATAAAAGAATAAAAGACATTGATTGAATTTTCGCTTTTATTTTTAAACATGAACATTTAGTGGAAAAGGATGTTAAGTAAATTATCAAACCACTTTAAGCAAAAGAAACTTTACTAAAATTCAATACAGTGACGGTCAACTGTCGATCTTTGAAGTTTAAGTACATACATAGCAGGTATCGGTTTTTTAAAAAAAGAATTACGTTGCCGCCGTTAGTTGAAAGGGCGCATGTGAAAAATGAATGACATGTACCTACTGCCGTGATGAGCCCTGATGGCGTGATTAGTAAAAAAAGACGAAGCCACTATTATTTTTTCCTAGGTGGATTACATATGAAGTTACCATAACAGAAAAGGGAGTAAGTACCCATAATTTTACGGTCAAACTAAGTTACATGGATGTATTCACAAAACAAATTGGTAGAAAGGCGTAATTGCATGTATACGTCGTTTCGTTTTAAAATGGTAAAGACGCAGGTCACGTTTAGACTTTCTAAATGTTCCTCAGTTAAAGCTCTACATGTATTGCAGTTACTGAAAAACGTTAATTTTCCAGATGTGAGTTTAATAAAATGTAAAGGGCGGAGAGATCAAATCCCAGTGCTTCTTCGTGATTTACAAAATCAAATGACAGTAGCAATGTAACTTTAGACATGTTGATCAATAAGGTCACACCACGGGTTCTACTTCCTGACACTGTCAAGAAAGAGCTGTTGCAGAAAATTAAAACTCATATTCTCACGCAAAAGGATCACTAAATCTGTATCATATTCTGGTCATTAATCTCTACATTTCTAGGTTGCATTTAAAGATATTTAAGCTTGCCTTTTTTGTGAAAAATGAAAAATGTTACCTTTCTTTGAAGCAATAAAAAAATCTTGAAAATGTTTATATAAGCCATAGTGTTTTTCTTATTTAAAATGTAAATGCGCATCTGACCTCCATCCCATTTGATGGAAAGTGACGATGAAGTCGACGATGGAGCATGCACAGCTAATGCCTATTCACTTTCGCCTTGACAAGGTCCAAGTTATAACGTTCAGGGAACAAGTTTGCAGGCAGGGAATTCCACTCCATAGCCGTTCGCCATATAAATGTGGAAGCGTAACGTTTCGTGCGAATCTTTGAAATATCCACAAGATAGGAGTGGAACCCAAGCCCCCGGTGATGGAAAGGGGAAGGCGGAGTTATATAGAATAGAATAGAATAGAAACTCGCGCCCATCTTACCTAGTATTGCGTATTTTACGAACATTTTTTTACTAAGTTGAAAATAAAAATAAGCACATGAATAAAGAAAATGGTATAAGTAAGTAAGGGTAAAGCATAAATAATAAAATATTTTAATTCCATATTTTGCATATAATATAGGTTTATCTTACTGCGTTTGAAGAAAATGTCTACGTTTTTTCGTTTGGAAACAGCAGATATTTTATCATTTAATTTCTTTACACGATATTTTCTCGGTTTTGAGTTTTTGTCGCAAGCGCCCCTTCAACGGCGGCAGTATGAAGAACTTAGAATAGTAAAACAACTTTAGTACTATGCAATATAATTGCCAAAACCATACCAGTTATTTGTTATCGTATCACTGAGAAAAATAAGTAAAAAAAGGCGAAGTAAAGTTGTATCACACATACCTGTTAATGGGAATAAAGACTATAGCCTCAGGATGGTGCAGATAATAGTCGCTCTGGTATTCCCAAATTGGCGGTCTGGACGTATCGGGTATGAAGAGCCCCAGGAACAGATTCATGGAATTCTGCTTTTCGGCATCAGAAAACGTATTGGAGTAGTACCGACTGAGTGTCTGCATTATATCGTTGCCGTGGGATGACCAAGGAGCTGTCTTGCGGTAGGTTTTTATCCTTATATAAAAGAATTCCACTTTTAGGGGAGTTTACACTGAGTATACAATGTATTTGATGTATTTGTTGCCTTAAATAAGCAAAAGTCTCTCCTATTACGGGAATATAGTATAATAAGACAAGTATGGTAACTCCATACAAAACAGCAACGCAGTTGAAATGTGCGCACGAGCGCCGTGCGCCGCCGTATGCGGACGCACACATTCGCATAATAGTGAGAGGCGCATGACACGACACGAATGTGGGCACACGGCACGCCGCGGGTACGCACACCTACAAGCCACGCTGTTACGTTTGTATGGAGTTACAATACTTGCTATATTATACTGTGGCTGAAACCAATCCAAGATTCAGACCTTTTAATATTAGCACATTCGCGCGAGCACCAACAGCACGGTTGCACCAAAAGCTGATTGATACGCTGTGGCAGATATTTTTCTCATTTATTAACGCAAACGTTTATAAACATTTCTTCTACAGGCTGTTAAAAGAATATATATATAACAAATAATTATACTGACGTCAATATTTGTTGACGTCTAAAAACCGCCTGCCGACGTTGCGCGGTCATTGGTATGAGTGTAGTGTTTACTTATCCTGTGAAATTTCGATACTGCGTGTAGCCAGAGATTCAATAATTATTAAGATTTTGTATGGGGAAATAGCGTTCTCATAGTTTCATCGATGAAATAAAAAAAATGAAACGACGTAATAGAACGTTGTTTTACATAACATACTAATATTTAAGTCGACATAGAACGTACCTCGCGCGAATGTGTTAATTTGATATTCCCGACTCTGATTTTAAAATATGAGCCTAGTTAGTAAATCAAGTATGAGCCAAGTTACCTGTGAACCAATTGAGATCCACCATACTGCAGCGCTAACGTGTCGCCGTGGTCTTCGTACAACCCTTCGAGTAGTCGCGCGCAGTCCGAATCGAATTCTATCACCGGCTCTCCCAGAAGGCCGAGAGCATATAGCTGAAACGAACATTATAATAACGAACACACTAATAATAACCCACATACTCAACATAGCCCCGCACTAGGGAAACCCCGTGTCGCGGGTGCCATGGACACATACACCACCACATACAACCACAAATCACACCCAAACTCACGAGAAAAATAAATGTAGGCCATACAAATATTTCTCCCGGCCCGGGAATCGAACCTGGGACCTCTGCGTGGCATTCCGGCATGGTAACCGTTCGGCCACGGATACCTCCGTTGTACTTATAATAGAGTGGCCAATTTACATCGCTCCAAAACAATCTTATTTAAATATACGATGTCGTAACGACCCATTTAAAATAAACATTCCGCGGAAGTCATTACTTACTTTAGACGTTAATGTTTATTTCACCTTTTAGAAAATTTCTACTGTAGTCACCAAAACTACTCTAGTATGACAAGTATTCCATTAAATAAAATGGAATTTGATATGAAATTCGTGTGTCGTCATGTTGGTATTTATTCTTAGGGTCGTATTCTAGAACTCTACTCAATGCTCAAGTCAGGATTGCACTGGAAACACAAGCACTGTAAATACGACTCTAATGGCAGGGACTTGAGTATGATTTCGAGTGCTTTAAACCATACTCAAATCCTGACTTGAGCATTGAGTAGAGTTCTAGAATACGACCCTTAGATTGCCTGATTCGTTTCTAAAACTTGTTGCTAACAAAGGGTCCGTCTATGGTTACTGCTTCTAACTACTTACAGATAGCTATCTCTCTCGTATGGGTCCCGCGGGTAAACTACGTGTAATACATATATTTATATATACATTCCACGCATACATGCTAGGTTACACAAACATTCTGCATATTACACATAAATCTTGTAATTTGATTTAAGTTGTTTAGAAATTGTAATTAAGTTTATTGGATTTCGAAAAAACAAAAAAGTCATGATTTCGCCAATGTCAAGTAAAAATGACTTTGCACGGTGGTAGTTTTGTAAAAATAATATGAAGATTATGGCGGACGACGCCATTAGCAAGGCCGGTACCTCCCACAAACTCCAATTTTTGCTCCATCCTGACATTCAGTAAACTTAATTACAATTACCAAAAGCGACATCTCTTGTCAGGTGCTGGTAAGTATAAAGATACCTGGCTGAGTGAAGAAATTCTCACAGATGCTACGGGGCGCTACGCCAAAAAGTTGTTAAATAAACTAAAAACAAAGATCTACAACAAGCACATGGAAAAACGTGTAAGTGTAAGTGGCTTAGTTGGCATTGCGTCTGGCACGGTGTGCTAGAAGACGTTGGTTCGAATTCAGCCGGATCGAATTTTTTTGTCTTAGTATTCGATTGTTGTATTAATATTATAACAAACCAGATGTTTAATAATGTTTACATATAAAATTAAGTTACTTGCAGTAGGTATTAAACTAAACTAACAATTTTCTTGTACTTTTAATTAGTTAATAGCTGAATATGTGAGTGAAAGAAAAATATTATTGCGTTATTTAGCCTTTTCGCGATTTTTTATTAGTTCGTGAAAAAACGTTCAATTTTCTAGCCTAATATATCAGAATACTATCGGCATTTGTTGATTTTCCATATATTGTATGCATCCACGTCATTCCGCTCTCTGTAAGTAGGGCCTAAACATTTTTAACATCATACTAATGATTCATAGTCAAACTAAATCATAATACCTGATATGCCAAGACGCATTTGCCAATTGCAAACTGCGCAGTATTAGTTCGATCTAGACAATCGACGCAGTTGACTCGTACCAATCCTGTCTGCAGTTGTCCAGCCTGATGTCCTTTCACACCCGCCTGCTCACCATAGCCATCCGAGCTCAGAAATATACCCGTCCGTTTTACTACTGTGCGAGCTATTGCCGATAAACTGGAAATCATATTTTTAAAGCTATAATCTTTGTCAGCGTAATTTACCTTATACTAATTTAATGATATGTTTTGGTATACTATAAACATGAATTGGATGGTAATTATAAATCTAAATCTATAACTTACTCACTTATCAAGCACTTTAGCATCAGCCCCCTTATTCATTCGTGCCATGTCTAAATGAAAGTATTGAATAGCATGCTCTGGTGGCAGGAACTGATTTAAATATCTCACAGCATTGCTTATCACGTCAGTTAGCAAAGACTCATGTTTCTTCTTCTCACGTTTCTTGACTAAATTCAGGAACATTATCGGGGAGCCATATCTCCTCAAAAGATTATTCAAATGCCTTCCTGGGATTTCAGCAAATGGGTCACTGAGATCAATAGCTATTTGTGGTTTAGGCACCATTTTGGACACGTCTTGAGACCAGTAGCTAGGAATCGATCCTCTTATTTGGACAAAAGAGCTGAATCTGTAAATTTAAAGGATCAAAGTTGGTGGTTGTCCAGCCTGTCGGTAGTGGTCGTTAGTTTCGTTCGTGGTCACTACTAGGGGGCCGTAACTGATCACAGCTCTTATCACTGCTGTGTAGAGCCAGTGTTATCTTGGGTGAAAGTACCCATTGTTTACTTACCATTCTAGAGCATTGCCAGGTGACAGTAGCTTGCTTGATAAGGAACTGTATGACGACACGGAACTTAATATTGTACACACTTAGTTGGAGTTCTCTTCCCAATTGATTTGTTAAATTAGCGATAATTAAAACCTTTAATGACCCGATTGAAGTGAAACTTTATACTGATAATGAGTGTCCTAATAAAAAAGTTCCCCCCTCCCCTCTCCAACCCCTCCGCGTTCCACGTACTTTTTGACCCATCCCTGTATGTCAACATGTCAATACAGATACTTGAATATGCAGATAATAATACCTGCCAGTGCAAAATGATGAAACCATGGAATCATGGACAATCTGCTCTGTTTCCACTTCATTAGCAACATCGCCGTGCATGTTAGCCCCTCTCTTCAAAAATCTAGTACCAGCATACCTATTACTCCTTCTGGCTATGAGTGTCAAGTAAACAGGTCTACCAAAAATGTTTAAATTACTTTGCTCTATGAAACCATGCACTATATATAGTATCCAATCTGGATGTAAATGGGAATGTACTGCTGATAGTAGGTGGCTGTTCCATACAAATCTCCACTCAGGTACTGTTCGTACTCCGAACTCTAATTTTTGGTGTTGTCTGAAATAGTAAAAACTATTTAGTAATTACAAAAATTCAAACTTTAGATTGATATTACATAGAAGAGCTATGTTTACCCAGTCTTCTCACGTCTTTGCTGCAACTGCTCCTTCCATGTCTGAAAAATGTCTTCATCATCCTCCATATTACATGTACATTGGTTATCATCAGCCACAGATAACCTTAAATTAGAATGATACACAGCAGCAGTGACTGGCTCAGGGAATAATGCTGGAGCCAATTTTCTTGGAGGAGCCATGTTCATTTGTAAGGTGTGTGTTATATCATAGCTGTAGCTATAATAGAAGTTAGTAGATAAGTCAACGGCCATGAACATCTTAAGATATCTCTGCTCGTCAGGATGCTGAGGCTTACTATTGTCACTTGGAATGTATATCATTGCTGTATCTTGAATTTTGTATATGGAATGTGAGCCAATCATGGCAATTTTCCTTCTTTTTGTGACAAGTATTATGTAATAGCCTTCTAGGAATCTGATAAAACCTGTAACATAACCTAAATACATAAATAACTAAAGAAAGAACCTACCTAACCTACTTATACAGGGTGTAATTGTTAAGTGAGCCATTATTCCATAAATATAAGAGATTTTGATATCTCGATAAGCTTTAAAATGATATCGAAAGTACATTACCTAATGAGCAAATAGACATTAACAACTTTTTTTAAATAAAACTAGAAATGTCCAAAATTTTAACATTAAAACACTCTCATACATTTAACATGACATTCGTAGAGAAGTTTTAGTTTTAGACCAACTTCTGCTGTTCCAATTTTTCTCATCCCATACAACGAACTGATCCTTGCTTGGAACTAAGTAAATCAGCACTAAAAAAAAATTTTATCAATTTTATTTATTTTTATGGACTTGACCAAATATAAGTTAAGATAAGTTTTATCAATTTATTTGTATCAGTTTTGTCATATGTTAAGTTATTGTTACCTCTTACAGTAGGAAAACTAAAGCCTCTGCACAAATGCCATATTAAGAGCCTGGGCACACTTAACAATTACACCCTGTATAGTCACTTTGTCTGTCAAGCTGCTTAAGCAGCTTAAATATTTATTTTTATTAGCCTATTCTGTCCCATTGATAGGCAAAGATTTCCCTCACTGCTATGATATTACAACAAATATGTCCCTATAATATAATCATCACTTAACTGCCTCAGTGGCCGAACGGTTACCAGACTGCCACGCAGAGGTCCCAAGTTCGATTCCCGGGCCGGACGAAATATTTGTATGACCTACATTTATTTCTCCCGTGAGTTTGGGTGTAATTTGTGGTTGTCTATATGCGTGTCCATGGCACCCGCGACACAGGGTTTCCCTAGTGCGAGGCTATGTTGAGTGTGTGCATTATTATATTATTATATCAAGACCGTACCAACAATTCCAAAAGCTGACACAAGTTTATTAAGCCCCGAGGCTTTACCAGCTCTGTTGCCAAAGCCAATCATGTTAAGGAGCTGATGTATTTCTTGCTTGTTGTACTCCACTTTATCATCCACTAGAATAAGCTCTCGCGGATCTGTTCTGTCGATCTTGAGTACTCTGAAGCGTGTCTGGGTATTGTTGGAGCCTATGAGGTAGAATCTCTGCCAAGAAAAACTTTACTTTATTCTCAATTCCGAATTGAATTTCATAAAACGAATTTGAATATATTATATTACAAAATGTACAAATAATATAAAAATTAGGGAAAAATAATATGAAAAAGATTTAAACACTTTTTCAATTTTGGTTAGGTCAAAACTCTTTCTTATTTTTTGTACACATTTCATTTGAATTCATAAGTAAAGTTTAAAATAATATAAAAAACACACCTGTTTAGTTTCATAGAGGGCAATCCTCTGTATAGAGCTGATAATAGGGTGGAACATCACACTTTGTTTAGACATCTTCCCGAGTAATGTTTAGCTTAATAAACACTGCACAATGAATAACAAAGCACATTAATAACTTAATTTTCGTGGGGAAAAAACCTCACATTTCTATAAAATCCGAATAATAATAAAAGTATATCTTACGTTTGCGTGATTGCTGTCATCTCATGTCCACAGAACACTATACATACTACAAGGAGCTCACATCTAAGAGCTCAAATCTGTAGTGTTGGGTCATGGAAAAATTTATTTAAACCTATTTTACAGAAAATAAATATTTATATATACCATAATTATGCAGATATTTTTCCTTTAATTTTTTAATATTTTTTTTAATATTAGTTTCACGGCATTGGAATACTGAGACCTGTCAAAAATTTAAGTTACTGAACGAAAACTATGGAATTGTTGGAAGTTTTTTCACCGTTGTGAAATCATTCTAAATCTTGTTTTTCTATAAGTGGCTTATAGTTTTTTAACAATAATAATAACGCACACACTCAACACAACCCCGCGCTAGGGAAACCACGTGTCGCGAGTGCATTAAAACGAGAGAAATAAATGTAGGCCATACAAATAGTTCTTCCGGCCCGGGAATCGAAATTAGGACCTCTGCGTGGCAGTCGTGGCATGATAACCGTTCGGCCACAGAGGCAGTTAAACAAGTTTATTTTATAATTCATGATAAATAAAACTTCTGGTTATTTCTAAAGGTAGAACATCATATGAGCCTTCCAAAATATATTTTCCAAATTTTTCCATTATAAACTTCTTTAATAAAATAAAATTGTATGGCTAAAAACAAGTTACAGAAAAACGAGAATTCTAATGATTGGACAATAGCGCAAAAAAATCGTTTTGGCTCCATTGTTTTCGTTCAGTACCATTTACATTTGACAGGTGTCAACGTCAAATGTGGAAAAGTATAGGAAAAATATCTGGAAAAATATTTATTTTTTCTGAAAAATGTGATTTTTTCAAAATGGATTTTTTCCATCGCCCAATACTAGTTATAACAATATACGCTTCAGACTTCTTTATCTTTTTGACTCCTCAGACAAGTTCCTCAGAAAATTAAATATCTCTGGAATCTCTTTCAACTTTTTTCAATCAGTTTAGAGTATTAATTAATTTGAACACAAGATTTTATAATGTCGAAGAAGCAAAGAATATTCATATTGGGACTATTTAAAAATGGTCTTATCCATCAATTCGAACATAGTATAATGAACCACTATAGTAATTATTAACAATATTAAATTGTGCAAAATAAAGTGACTTGTAAATTATGATTCTTATCTCGCCACTCTCGTACATTCCTATAAACTTTTACGAACATCAATTGATACGTGAGATAATTAATAGATGGCGTTACACTACGATTTGAAATCTTGATGAGGGAACATGGAAGGAAATACAAAACTATTTAGTTTTTTAGTTTTCTACTCCACAATAAATAAAATATCGATTATTTTAAATCAAACTGTCATCAAAATCAAAATGTATAAAAATGTTTAATTTTAGCGTCAACAACGTAAAGTGATAAATGCAACGTCAGTTCTACGAGTATGTCGTTGATGTCTTTTTCATGCAATTAAAAACATTATATTCGTTTTAGCGTTTGTTGGTAATTAGGTTAAACTAAGCAATACTCTTTGTGGTAAACTTACTGAACATTTGCACTTTAAGTGCTATATGCTGTACGTATAGATATTTTATTTAGCTTGTAACGTTAGATACAGATACGTAAACATAATAATATTACCTAGCTCGTAAATATAGAAGGGTTTATGCGTGTTAATGTGTAATATTAGGAAAATACGCATTGCGGTGGTACGTTTGGCTCATTTACATGACTGTTTTATTATAATATTATAACGGTTTCAAGCCCTCCTTGACAAATTATACATACACATGTATCTTGGTACGTATTCACATACTTATGATGAAACGTTTCGTTACGTCAAAGTGCCACTCCCAACCTCACTTAAATATTGGTATGGATTTGGAACTGGGTCAAACCTGTGGACCTTGCGTGTATGATATGCCACATGATGCAGCTGAACTCCGTTAGGACATAGCGCTTTATTGCCTAGTGACATGTCGCACATTAACAATGTGGGAATTTTAATCAGGTTCGCCAGCCTGCTTGGGCAGCATGAGTGTCGATTGTGTAGCTCCATGTGTGAAATGAGATTCCACTTTAGTAGAGCCTTCCGATTCTGAATAGTGGCAGGGAGGTGGCGCGCATGCGCGGGAGGGCGCTGGCATCGCGCTCACGGCAGTCCCGTGCGCGTCTTCGAGCCCGCATCACATGCCTCGCGTCAGCGCTATTGTCTGACGCAGGGGCAGAATCGAACTGAATGAAATACACTCTACTACCACGACCACTGATTCCAGTCTTCGTATATGAGTGTTATAATAGTTGTTTTAGTGATAACCGAGAGTGGTGTTGCCCTGGGCCAAGAGCCGGTAAACAACCGGTCCAGATAGGGAAGCTGCGTCGGCTCACGCCCGACTACAGTGGAATGCGGCAATTTTAACTACTGCAGACCACGGGACCCCATTTACGAATAGGGACCGATCACTACTGGGCCCTATAGAGGTAAGTTGCTCCATATCTGCAACCTTTACAAATAGTGTGATTCAGTTGAATTCGAAAAGAGGTGTAAAAGATTCTTTGGAGTGGGGAAAATGAATACAAAATGACTGAAACAACGTCTATATTTTCTACGTCATCATACTATCATTATATATTAATTATTTAACCGGTATGAACACATTGTTTTATCATAATACTATATCGATGAACAATTAAAATCCCATTAGTTGTAGCTTAAACCATAGCATAATTTGATTTAACAGCCTATTGTTAAAGAAACACGTTATTGTATTTTATCACATAAAGAAACGATTTTCAATTTCAATTTTGATATTAGTAGAATGATGCATTGATATTAATGTGGATATATCAAAATCAATACAATACATGTTCTTTATAGAATTTATTTCTTACGTAAAATTATACTTAACATCAGAACTGAACGTGAGAACTCTACATAAATAAAACCAAAAGTATATCTTATTGTAAGGCGCACAATTTTGGAACATCATTGAACTTACATTCAAAGACTTATATAGGGACATATATTCAGCAATTAATAGTCGTAACCGCATTTCAAGATCTTAGTGTTGCGAAATGTTCGTAATGTCAGAGCAGGTACCTACATAGATTAAGTAAGATCACTTTCTTTTCACCCATCGAACATTGCCACCAAGATGCTATTCAAAAAGACAACTCTCGCCTCAATTCTCACGATTTGTCGATCCACTGAGAGTCAAAATACAAAATCCCATTGTTATATTTTTATGCTCTCTACTTATGTGGTCTCTTTTTGGGTCTCAATTTCGGTTTTACGAATAAGAATTGTTTCTTTACGAAGCGAGGTAAGCCTTAAATGAACTTCTTTAGGTATGTTTTGAGCTTTTTACTTCGATTACGCGAAGCGTCAGAAATTGATAACTAAATAAATAAACTTTGTGCCTATAACATGTAAATGTATTCACAATAAAACGATAAAGTCCGTAGTGTAGTCATTTCAGCATCGAGATAAGCCTACCTACTTTTTGTTGATAAAAGAAAGTATGTATTCAATGAAGTAGGTACTTATATGTTGTGTACCTAGTAATGTGGATGATTATACTTGTAACGAGGGTAAAGAAAGTATAAGCTTTTTTTCAGAATTAACAGTTGATAGAGCAAAATACTCATGTATGTAGGTAGTTCACTAGATGCTTCAATGTGCGTGGGAGCATATACAAGCTTTAAGTGTATTAATGCATAGACTGTGGGCGGTGATCTTATTACACAGAAACTTTTTATTTTATACAAGAAATGCACAAAATATTTAAATACTTTCTTTTTCTACACACTCTTCTACACACATTTACCTCTATCATTCTCGGACTAGTGTTCACTACGCAATGTCCGTGGCTATTTTTGTTATTTAAAATTTAAGGTATATTATCGTGTAATTATTAAATAATATTTCTCGAATATTAAATAATATTGCATGACAAAAAAATCGAATACTTAAGTAACAAAAAGTGCCACGGAAATTGGATGGTGAACACTAGTCCGAGAATGACCACCTGTGCGGTGTGAAGTATATTAATTTAATTGATTTAGTAGTTCAATGTAAAGTACTGTAACCAAGTATACAAATAATATTCAAATAACGAATACAATTTTTTAATCCAAAAACGAAATTTTTATATTTTTTGTTATGAAATCAAATAAAATAATAAATACTACAAATAAACATTTTACTATCTTACTAATTTATTTGCATTCAGAGAAACATTTTTTTTTTGCTGCTGTTACGGTTTTCTGCACATAACCCACCTGGGCGGATACCACCGCTCTACCCATTTCTACCGCAAAGTAGGACTACTCTGTTCCAGATTTACTGGTAGGGAGGGCCAGCGTAATCACAAGCTCAGTTCTGATTTATTTTCCACGACCGGCAACTCATTTGATATTTAAAATACATCCTAAGTAACCGCTGCTCGTGAGATGGACCGTTTCACTGTTATCTTATCAGTTTGTAGCAACAATAACAAAACATTCTTTATGACATTTTGACTAATGGCATGAGTCTTCAAAACAAATGCGTTTATTCAAGTAGGTAATAATCGACCCAATTTACGGAAAGTAGGTCCGGTTATACGTTAGAGGATGAAAAAAAAAAATAGTCTGAGGGTTATACAATTCACTTATGTGTTCATCCCATCACACGGTTCGCCATTTTCACTTTAAAAAAACAATATTCACGAAATGAATGAGGGCTTTTCGGTCTCCTTTCCATTATACGTATTGTGGCTGACCCTTCAGTTCAATCCTTTTATTGTGGATCATGCGGAACGGTACTTGATGAGCTCCAATTGTGTCCTCGTCCTAAATCACAATCCTCAAATAATACAAGTGGAACTTCAATTTCTTGACGAAGAGATAGCCGTGTTACAGATTAATATGAATAACTTTCGCAACGTCGAATAACGACAAATTCGCCAGTATATTTCAACAAAGTGTAATTTTATGTTTGAATCTTTGTTGATTTTTGCTAAAACTCTCACGCTTTTTTGGAAGGTATTTCCGCGCATGAGTATCGATCGGATGGAACCCCTCGACGGGACACAACATATAACATGGATCATTTATGAAAATTGACTTTTAAAATTGAGATGGACAGAAGCCGGTTTTTTGTTAACTAAATAACAAAATAGTATTTTAAAATTTTCAATGTTTCTTACATTGTAACGAATGAAATGAATAAATAATAATAGCACATGCACTCATAGCCCCGCACTAGGGAAACCCTGTACTGCGAGTGCCATGGACACACTTAGACAACCACAAATTACACCCTAACTCGCGAGAGAAATAAATGTAGGCTATACAAATATTTCTCCCGGCCCGGGGATTGAACCCGGGACCTGTGCGTGGCAGTCCAGCATGGTAGGTCGTTCGGTCACGGAGGCAGTTAATCTAAAATTGTATCTAATCTAAAATATTCATGGTACCTTCGATACATTCTTTTTTTATAATATCAAGTGACGAGACGAACATGTTGTGAGCCTGATGGTAAGCTACACGCCTGTCCATAACATTTACAGTGCCACTCAGTGCTTTAAATCGCAAAGATCAAAGGGGCACAGCCACTGCGCCGGTCACCCTGAGCATAAGATGATAAGTCTCTTGTGCCTGTAATTTCACCAGCACCCTTACCTGGTAGTAATGCTGAGATTACTGTGCAGAAATGGGTAAGGTGGCAGTACTTCCCTGAACGAACTCTTTCACAAGGAGCTACTAAATTCATATTCATATTGGAAGTTAAGAAATGTGATGAATCGTTTACCTTTCTTTCGACATTTCAAAGTATTTCGATAAAGTCTGACCTGTTAAACAAGCTTCCATCGTACAGAATTCCTGTTTGTTTCTGCACATTTCCTGAGGGTCAGGTCAATATGTGTATAGATGGCTGCTCGTCTGCCTTTCACAGTACCTCAGGGGTCTGTCATCTCCGCTACTCTATTCTTGCTGCACGCTAACGATCTGATGCTGAGCAGACAGACGACAGCACAGTAATGGAGAGCTATGTGTCAAATGCCCGTTAACAGTAAAAAAATCCGGCGTAAACAACAGGCGATGATCACATTGTTGAAATTGAGCCTGAAAATGGCTTCAGACTGGGAAGATGCAAATAGGATCAGGTTCAAAGCCACCAAAACACAGACGAGTCTTTTTTCGGCTAAACGGAGTGTTCTCCACTTAGCTCCGGCTTTTCGAGATGTGTCCGTGTCGATAAGTAACCATCTTCGGCTATTTGATTTGGGCTTACCATCCAACTTCAACTACAGTCGCTATATCGAATCCTTGGCAAAATCTTTTTCAGAGTCAGACGATACTTCACATCAGAACAGATTTTAGTTCTTTGTATTTTTCAAAATCAGTTCGATAAAAATCCTACTGAATGGGCAACGCTTACATGTCATTAAAGTAGACAACATATACGATCGAGGTTCGAGAATATTGAATCCAAGAAACTACCTAGTAATTTTGTGAGATCTTAAACATGTTTTTAGGAGTGTAAGGACTAACTTTTTGCGTCTACTCGTACATCCTTATTTCGGGATGCAGTGTATATGTATTAATAAGTAAGTATTTATTGTTAAAACTGTTTACGTTACCCTAGGTTTTGCTAGCTTTAATAAACGTTACTCCCATAAAAGATTAACAAAAGCTAGCAAATACAACGTACTATTCTTTGAGAGTTCTCTAATTAAAATCCATTATAAAAATACAGCGTTGTTTTCGCTAGAGTTAAATTTTATTCGGGTCTCATGGTTACCGCAGTGAAGAGAAGTAACGAGGCGTGGCGCGGCAGCGTGTCCGTCCGCCACGACAGTCACCCCGTCGCTTGCCTAGCGCAGCGCTGGGGCTAGGGGGAATCGCCCACAAGGATTAAGATTCACGCCACGTATCTGCGGCATATGTGACCGGCCTTAACAACAATCTCTTTCTATTATCGACGACCTACTAAAACACTGCAGCCACTAATTAATTGTTAATTTGAAAGGAGTAGCGGTCTAATGAATTTCTAATTTAATATGGTTTTATATCAATACGGCGATCTAAATGTAACTAGGACTTGGAGGTAGTAGTCCAATATTTTCCCTGACTAAATGCTCTAAACATACCAGTGCACTTTAAAATAAACTTTACTTTTTTTTAAAATAAGGTAAAGACTACTTACTACTTGTCTTGCTACTGGAAGTATTCGTAAAGAATGTAGGTCACATACAGGTGTGCGCGGATCTATGAGATGGGCAAGCAAAGCAACCCCCAACATTTTAGGAATCTTCCATACCTAAAACCGTAGCACCCTATGACACGGAAAAGATACAGCGTGATATGAAATCATTGCAATTTGCTACGATACTAACAATCAATGTTTACAATAACGCCTCGATAAAATAGAGGCAGCGTAGCAGTAGCAAGCTTAGCGAGGTCTGAAAGGAAGGCCTCAATAAAGAAAGTATACA